AGAAGGAACTTAATTCTATTTCCTTAAGACGGAGTTGCTGCTGGCTCCCAACAGGAAATGAAAACAAACAAACAAACAAAAAAACTGGGGTAGCACAAAATTGACCTCAAAGTGAAGGCCATAACAGGAGATAAGGATAGCCACTTCACAATAATACCAAAGGGATCAATACAACAAGAGAATATAACTCTGGTAAACATAGGTATCCAATGCAGGAGTACCCAAATACAAAAACCAAACCAAAACAAAACAAAACAAAAAAACTCCTGGAAGTTATCAAGGGAGAGATCGACAACAATACAATCATAGTAGGGGACTTTAATACCTCACTGACATCACTAGATAAATCCTCTAGGGAAAAAAAAAATCAACAAAGAAACAGCAATTCTAAATGACTCACTAGATCAGATGAATTTAATTGACATCTCAGAACATTTCACCCCAAAGCCATGGAATATATGTTCTTCTAAAGTGCACATAGGACATTTTCAAAGATAGACCACAAATTGGTTCACAGGCAAGTCTCTCCAAATTTAAGAAGGTTGAAAGCATATCAAGCATCTTATCAGATCACAATGGCATAATATTAGAAGTAAACTATAATAAAAACAAAAAAAATTAAATACTTGGAAGCTTAATAGCATGCTATTAAAAAATCATTGGGTTACCAAAGAGATCAAAGAAGAAATTAAAAACATCCTGGAAATAAATGACAATGAAAACACAACAATTCAAAACCTATGGGACACAGTGAAAGCAATTATGAGAGGGAAGTTTATAGCTCTACAGGCTTACCTAAAAACAAAAACAAGAAAGAATGATAATAAATCATCTAACTCGACAACTTAAAAAATTAGAAAAAGAGTAACAAAAAAAGCCCACAGTGAGCAGAAGGAAGGAGATAATAAAGATCAGATCAGAGCAGAAACAAATGACACAGAAACCAAAAAAACAACACAAAAGACAATGAAACCAAGAAATGGTTCTTTGAAGGTATAAACAAGATTGATGAACCTCTAGCCAGGCTCACCAAGAAGCAAAGAGAGAGGATCCAAATAAACAAAATCAGAAATGAGTGAGGTGAAGTAACAACAGACCCCATAGAAATACAAAGGATTGTTAAAAAAAAAAATTATGAACAACTCTATTCCAACAAACTAGATAACCTAGAGGAAATGGACATATTCCTAGAAAAATACAACCTTCCAAAACTCAATCAGGAAGATTCTAACAATCTCAATAGGCTGATAACTATGGAGGAAATTGAAGCAGTCATCAAAAGCTTCCAGCAAACAAAAGCCCGGGGCCAGAAGGCTTCACAGGGGAATTTTACCAAACATTAAAGAAAGAACTAAAACCTATCCTCCTCAGACTATTGCAAAAAATTCAAGAGGAAGGAACACTTCTAAACTTATTCTATGAAGCCAGCATCACCCTAATACCAAAACTAGATAAAGACAACACAAAGAAAGAGAATTACAGGCAAATATCCCCCATAAACATAGACACCAAAATCCTCAACAAAATTCTAGCAAGTCGGGTCCAGCATTACATCAGAAAGATCATACACCATGACCAAGTAGGATTTATCCTGAGGATGTAAGGATGGTACATATTTGCAAGTCAATAAATGTGTATATCACATAAATAAGTTGAGAGAAAAATCACATAGTCATATCAATCGATGCAGAAAAAGCATTTGACAAAATTCAACACCCTTTTTTTGATAAAAACCCTCAGCAAAGGGAAAAGAGAGATCATACCTTAACAAGACAAAAGCCCTATGTGACGAACCTACGGCCAAGATAATACTTAATGGGCAAAAACTAAAACCATTTCACCTAAGAACATGAACAAGACAAGGATGCCACTTTTACACTCCTACTTGACATAGTACTGGAAGTGCTAGCCATAGCAATTAGACAAGAAGAAGAAATAAAAGGCATCCAAATTGGAAAAGAAGAAGTAAAACTGTCATTATTCACAGATAACATGATACTTTACATGGAAAACCCTAAAAACTCCTTCAAAAATTATTAGACTTAATAATTGAATTTGGCAATGTAGCAGGATACAAAATTAATGCTAAGAAATGTATGGCATTTCTATACACCAATAGTGAACTTACAGAAAGAGAGATTAAAAAAGCATTCCTATTTACCATTGCAATAAAAAAAAAAAATTAAGATACCTAGGAGTAAACTTAACTAAAGAGGTAAAAGACCTATACTCAGAAAAATACAGAACATTGAAAAAGAGATAGGTGAAGACATGAACAGATGGAAGAACTTAATGTGTTCATGGATTGGTAGAATCAAAATCATTAAAATGTCCATACTGTGCAAAGCAATCTATAGATTCAATGCACTCCGCATTAAAATACCAACGGCATATTTAACAGACCTAGAATGAATTCTCAAAAAATTCATCTGGAATAAAAAAAGACCTTGAATAGCTACAGAAATCCTGAGAAAGAATAATAAAGTAGGAGGGATCTCAATACCAGATTTCAAGCTGTATTACAAAACTACTGTTTTCAAAACTGCCTGGTACTGGCACAAGAACTCACATACATAGACCAATGGAATAAATAGAGAACCCAGAAATTGACCCAAACCACTATGCTCAATTAATATTTGACAAAGGAGGCAAGAGCATACAATGGAGTCAACACAGTCTCTTCAAAATGTTGGGAAAATTTTGGACAGATACATGAAAAAAAAAAAGAAAAGAAAAGAAAAGAAATTTGATCACCAACTTACACCATACACAAGAGTAAACTCAAAATGGATAAAGGACTTAAACATAAGATGGGAAACCATAAAAATACTAGAGGAATCCAAAGACAGCAAAACCTTAAACATATCTTCACTGATACACCTCCCAGTGCAAAGGAAACTAAGGAGAAAATAAACAAATGGAACTACATCAAAATAAAAAACTTTTGCACAGAAATGAACCATCAAGAAAACTATGAGAAAGCCCACTGCACGGGAGAGCATATTTGCCAATGTTATCTCAGATAAGGGTTTAATTTCCAACATTTACAGGGAACTCATACAACAAAAAAGAGATATACAACCCCTCTACTCCCCCCCCCCCCCAAAAAAAAGGGCAATGTACCCAAATAGCACTTTTTGAAAGAGGACGTAAGGAAGGCCAAGAGACATGTAAAAACAAGCTCAAAGTCACTAATCATCTGAGAAATGCAAATAAAAATGACAACGACGTACCATCTCACACCTGTCAGAATGGCTATCATCAACAAATCAACAAACGACAAGTGCTGGAGAGGATTCGGAGAAAAAGGAACCCTCGTGCACTGCTGGTGGAATGCAGATTGATGCAGCCACAGTGGATTACAGTATGGAGTTTTCTCAAAAAACTAAAAATGGAACTCCCATTTGGCCCAGTGATCCCACTTCTAGGACTATATCCCAAGAAACTAGAAACACTGATCAGAAAGAATATATGTACCCCTATGTTCATAGCAGCACAATTCACCATAGCTAAGATTTGGAAACAGCCAAAATGCCCATCAGCAGATGAATGGATTAGAAAACGGTGGTTCATCTACACAGTGGTAAAAAAAAAAAAAAAAAAAAAAAAGAAGGAATTCTTACCATTTGCAATAGCATGGATGGAACTGGAGAGCATCATGCTAAGCAAAATAAGCCAGCCAGAGAAAGATAAATATCACATGATCTCACGAATATAATGAACAACATAAACTGATGAACAAAAACAGATCTAGGGACAGAGAAGCATTGATCAGTCCACCAAACCTCAGAGGGGAGGCAGGGGAGGGTGGGGGTTTGGGGGAGATGCCAACCAAAGGACTTGTATGCATGCATATAAGCCTAAGCAGTGGACACAGACAGCAGGGGAGTGAGGGCATGAGTGGGGAAGGGCAATGGGGGTGGGGGTGGGAGATAAGGACACATATGTAATACCTTAATCGATAAAGAAAAAGAAATAAATTTTAAAAATATAGTTCATTGTTTGTAGAGTGAACTGGAAATTTACAGAGAAGAATAAAAAAATTGAGGCCAGTAATTCAATCCAAAAGAGTGGTTCCACCTTAGAAGTGACATAATGCCTTAATCAATAAAAAACAAAAAAAAACCACACACAAACATACAACCCCCCCCCCCCACACACACACACCACACGTGGGTGTGGGACCAGTCCATTTCATGCCTCTGCCCCTTCTACCAGTCTCAACGTGCTTTCTTCTCTAACTCTCTAGTTGTAGCCTTCCATTCAGCCAGATTGCAGGCGGTCGTGAATGATGGCTATCTGTATTTTAGTTGCAATATCGATGTGCTTGCTGGAGGAGGTGGGTGCCATTGTTTCCCTGGGCCACCATCTTGGTTCCTCTGTCACGATATGTCTCTTGACAATCAGAAAATAATTCAGGAGCTCAGAGCTCAGTAAATAAACCTCATTCAAGTACAGAGCGTGTTGTTTGATTTAGGTAGTTATTTTAATCTTTTAAAACAAAGTAACTTTAAAGTAATGTGGCTGAGATACACATTTTTTGAAGGGCTCACCAATCTTGTGACATCCCAGTGAGAGATGTAAACCAATTTTGCCTTTGTCCAGAAGAGTGAATGTAAGCACAAATAACAGAAGTTTCCACACCTTCTCACAGTCTTTTGATCTTTATGCATAAGCTGTAAACACCCATCCTTAATCACCAACCAGGGGTCTCTACTCCACAGAGGTCTTTGTCCCGAGCCTTCCTTTAGAATCATAGTCTATTAATATGGACAGGGTCAAGATTTCTGTTTCGATCCAACTCCCCCGTGATTATGGGTACCAGGGTCCACCTAACCATTTTGATCCCATGGAGAAACCTGTGAGTGTATTCACATTCACTGAGGGAAGGGAACTCAGAAGCACTTGCTTAATCCTGCTGGCGAGCGTCACTGTTTTTATGTAGAAAGGGAAATATGTAATTGGGGTTCTAACCAAATATTCATTCTTTTTTATCAAAGCTGTTTCCCCTGCCTCTCCTCTACGTTGGAAACCACATCAGTGGATTATCGAGCACAAGCAAGCTAAGGTAGAGTGCAGTGGTGGGTGGGAGATCCTCCCCTTGTTTGCTTCTAATGATGCAAAGACCAAGTTTGATTTTTTAAGATATTGCTGTATTACATAATATTATTTAATAATAATGTTTAATAACTGCAGAAAATAAGGTGGAGTTTTGAGTTTAATTTGTTAAGGCTTTTATAAATGCTGAAAAGCTGATTTTTTTGTTTTGTTGTGTTTATGTTCAACTTTGAACATAGAAAAAGGAGACCTCTAGAATCAAGATACAGGAGGTGATTTATTCAGAAAGAACCATTTCCTTGTAACTTTTGATTTCATCACAGTTTTATAAAAGTGGAAATATTCTGTTAGATTTGGTATAGGTTGAGCTTGGTACAGGGAGAATGAAATAACAGGCATTATTTCAAGTATGTGCTATACACTTCTGAAGTTTGAATTTATATTTATTTTAGGTCCATTGACTTTTTACTAAAAGTCACTATAAAAATAAAATAAAATAAAAAAGTACAGGAAGAGCCATCATATAAATGAGGAAGCCTGGTGTGAAATATGCAGCCTAATGAACACATCATAGTCACTAATCTTGTGACAAAGATGTAAATAACTAAGTTTGTGGAAAGGGTGAAAAAAAAATGAGGAAAACTGCTCAGCTGGTGTGGCTCCATGGTTGAGCATCAGCTCACGAGCCAAGAGGTCACCAGTGTGATTCCCTGTCAGAGCACATGCCCCGGTTGCAGGCTCAATTCCCAGTAGGGGGCATGCAGGAGGCAGCTGATTGATGATGTTTCTCTTTCATTTCTCTCTCTCTGTCACTCTCCCTTCCTCTCTCTCTAAAAACTCAATCAAAACATATTTAAAAATGGAAGAAAATCTGCTTGTATAGTAAGAGTGGAAGAGGCAGATGGGAGATAGACCAGAAGGAAAAGGACATATAAAACGAAGAATTGTGAAATTAGGCCTGTTACCTTTCACTCTTGTTTGGAAAGGACAGGTGTGGTCATGAAAAAAAAAAAAAAAAAAGTGCCCTGGCTGGCATGGTTCAGTGGTCGGAGGGCTTGATTCCTGGTCAAGGGCATGTACCTGGTTGCAAGTTTGATAACCGAAGTGTCGAGGGCTTGATTCCTGGTCAAAGGCATGTACCTGGTTGCAAGTTTGATAACCGGTCCCTGGACAGGACATTTTTGGAAGGCAACCATTCAATGTTGCCTCCCAAATCTTTCTCATGATTCCCTCTCTCTCTCTCTCCCCTCTTTATACCCCCTCCTTTCCACTCTCTTTGAAAAAATTAATGAAAAAAATCCTTAGGTGAGGATTAAAAATCAAAAACAAAAAAAAAATAAAACATGAAATACTATTTTCAGATATACATTTTATTTTATAAAAATATATTTGTGCCAAAACCGGTTTGGCTCAGTGGATAGAGCGTCGGCTTGGGGACTGAAGGGTCCCGGGTTCGATTCCGGTCAAGGGCATGTACCTTGGTTGCGGGCACATCCCCAGTGGGGGGTGTGCAAGAGGCAGCTGATCGATGACTCTCTCTCATCGATGTTTCTGGCTATCTCTCTCCCTTTCACTCTGTACAAAAATCAATAAAATATATATTTATTTTTAAAATATATATATATATATATATTTGTATTGATTTCTGAGAGCAAGGGAGGAGAGAGAGAGAGAGAGAGAGAGAGAGAGGAACATCACTAATGAGAAAGAATCGTTGATGGGCTGCCTCCTGCATGCCCCACACTGGAATTGAGCCTGCAACCCAGGCATGTGCCCTGACCGGGAATGGAACCATGACCCCAGGTCCATAGGTTGATGCTCAACCACTGAGCCACGCTGGACGGGCTTCAGTTACACATTGTAGTTGCTTTGTTGTTTCCTTCTGGGATCAGGCAATCATTTTTTCTTAATTGGCTCAAATTTGTTTTCGCCTCCCTATGGTGAGGGTTTTTGCCGTCTCACCATGTATCCTCTCGGGCTTCCTCTGAGTTCAGCTGCGGCTCTGGGGTGTCCTCAGCCAAATGACAGTTGCCCTCCTCTCACATCGGGGGCTCTGCCTCTCAGATGAGTGCTTCTTTTTCAGTGATCCTCTTGGGAACAACTTTTTTTTTTTTTTAATTAAATTTGTTGGGGTAACATTCATTAATAGCATGATATAAGTTTCGGGTATACATCCATATTCTCTATTGTGTGCTTACCAGATGATGTCTAGTCTCCTTTGATAACAAAAGACAGGCTTGGGCAAAAGTAGGTTTACAGTTGTCTGTATGGAAAACAGTACGAAGAATAAATAAATAATAATACAAGAATAAACTGTGTCTTGCATACTCACAACTGTAGGCCCACTTTGCCTCACCCTGTATTTGACCCCCTTGACCCTCTTTATCCTCCCCTTAGCTCCTTGCCCCTCCGGTAACCACCAATCTGTTGTCTGTATCTGTGAGGTGTTTTTTAATTTGTTTCGTTTCTTCATTTGTTGCTTTTGTTGTTGTTTGTTTAATATTGAATATACAATAGGAGTAAAACCACCTGGTTCTTGTCCTTTTCCACCTGATTTATTTTACTTGAGAGCTTTTCATGTTGTTGTAAGTGGCACTATTTTATCTTTTTTTTTTTTTCATGACTGAGTATTATTTCATTGTATATAAGTACCATATCTTTTTTTTTTTTTGGGGGGGGGGGGGGTTGATGTCCAGAAAAGGGGTTGTTGGGTCCTATGGTAGCTCTGTTTTTAATTTTTTGAGGAAACTTCATATTGTACCAATCTACATTCCCATCAGCTAAAAATAATGCCATTTCAACAATTAGTGCTCAGACAACTGGACATCTACACATGGAAAACTGGATCTAGATGCAGGTCTTATACCTTTCCCAGAATCAACTTCAAAATGATCATACACCTAAATGTAAAATGTAAACTATAAAACTTCTGGGGAAAAAACTTGGGAGAAAAATCTAGATGATCTTGGTTTTGACAATGAGTAAATACAACACCAAAAGTACAGTCCATGAAAGAAAAAAATGAAAGCAGGACTTCATTAAAATTGAAAGCATTTGCTCTGAAAGACAGTGTTAAGAGAATGACATGCCACAGACTGAGAGAAAATGCTTGCAAACACATATCTGATAAAGGACTTGAATCAAGTAAATGAAAATTTGTGAGTTTATGTTGACAGCAAAAACAATTCTCATTGGTTACCAATGAAGGTGACAGAACACTACTCTGAACCATTATAAATGATGCTTTTATTCTGCCTTTCCTGTGGAAATGGTGAAAATTTGTATTTATTGAAGAAAATTAGACAAAAAATGCAGAAGAGGTGATATAGCTAGAAAGTCACCATTTTGCAATTTGGAGTGGAAATAATGAGTCTAGATGATAAGTCACTATTAGGTGAAAAAAATGATGTTTAATTTTTCAGCATTATTTGTTCAAAACACTGTTCTCTCCCTATGGTAATGTCTTGGCACTTTTGTTGGAAATAATTGACTATAATTGTAAAGGTTTATTTCATTTTCTCATAGTTACTATATCTTTATTCATGTTATTGAGCATATTTACTATCATTACTCTGAACTCTATTTCAAATACATTTCTTACTTCTGCTTTATTTATTTCTTCTTCTAAAGAATTCTCATGTTCTTTCATTTTTGGGTTGTTTCTTGGTCTCCTTATTTTGGCTGTTTGTTTTTGTTTGTGATTACGTATTAAGCAGGTCCTCTACACCTCTCAATCTCTAGTGCAGGACAGTGTCAAATGCTGTTTCTGACTAATTATATCAGGCAAAGACTCCAAGCCTCCAGAGACTTCTTGGCAGCGACCAACAGCTCAACTCACTTTCAAAAGGATTCTGAGGGGTGCTCTGGCAACCAAGTCCTCTCTTTGTTTGACTGTTGCTAGGGATGCTTCTCCTAAATACTTTTTTTAAAAATTTGATTTTTTAGTGCGAGAGAAAGGGAGAGAGAGAAAAAATAAATCCATGTAAAAGGTTGCCTCCCGCACACACCTTCAAGGGTTTATTGATTAATTATGATCCTAATCCATTGATTATATTGATATGTCTGTCCTTAAACCAGTACTGATTATTGTAGGTTTGTAGTAAATTTTGAAATTCAGTCCACCAACTTTGTTCTTTTTAAAATATTGTTTTGCCTTTCTGGCTTTCTTGCCTTTCCATATTAATTTTAGAATCAGCTTGTCAATTTCTGGGGGGGAAATGCCAGGTTTTGATAGGGATTGTGTTGTATCTATAGATCCATTTGGGGGAATATTTCCATTTTAACAACAATAAGCCATCTGATCCATAAACATGAAGTGTCTTTCTATTTAATCATCTTCCATCTTTCAGCAATATTTTGTAGTGTTTTTTTTTTCTTTCTTCTTTTTTGTACTTCTCACTTGAGGATATGTTTTTAATGATTTTTTACAGAGAGAAGAAAAGAGAGAGGAAAACATCAATCTGTTGCCTCTGGTGTGCATCCCAGCCAGGGCTAGCCTGCAAACTTCAATTTCCTGACTGGGAATTGAACCTGCAACCTTTTGGTGTATGGGATAGCACTCCAACCCACTGAGCAACACCGGCCAGGGCTATTTTGTAGTTTTTAGTGTAGAAGTCTTATACTTCTGTTGTTAAATTTAGTCCTAAGGATTTTGTTCTTTTTGATGCTATCCAAGTGGAATTGTTTTAATTTTTTTTTTTTTTGGATTGTTCACTGAGAGTGAATATAAATATAATTGACTTTTTAAGACTCATTTTGTTTCCTGCAAACTTTCTTAGCTCATTAGTTGTAATAATTATTAAATGAGTTCCTTAGGCTTTTGTAAATATCCACTGCAAATAAAGATAAGTTTATTTCTTCTCTTTTTAAAAAAAAATATATATTTTATTGATTTTGTATAGAGAAGAAGGGAGAGAGACAGAGAGCCAGAAACATCGATGAGAGAGAGTCATCGATCAGCTGCCCCTTGCACACCCCCCACTGGGGATATGCCCGCAACCAAGGTACATGCCCCCGACCGGAATCGAACCCGGGACCCTTCAGTCCCCAAGCCGACACTCTATCCACTGAGCCAAACCGATCTTGGCTATTTCTTCTCTTTCAAAATGTATGCTTTTCCCCCTTCCCTTCCTTTTCTTTTTTCTTTTTCTCTTTGCCCTAATTGCACTCTTTAGGACCTCAAGTTTAATAGTGAATAGTGGTGAGAGAGAACCTCCTGGTCTTATTTTTGATCTTAGGGGGAAAACATTTAACTTTTGATCATTAAGTATACCTTACCTGGTTTTCTTTCAGTAATACTTTTTAAATCCTCTCCTGAGGACGTGTTTATTAGAGAGAGAGAGAAAGAGAGAGAGAGAGAGAGAGAGAGAGAGAGAGAGAGAGAGAGAGAGAGAGAGAGAGAGATTGATTGTCTCCCATAGGCGCCCTGACCAGGGATCCAATCCACAACCTAGGTATGTGCCCTGATGAGGAATGGAAGCCACAACTTTAGGTCTACCAGATGCTCCAACCAATTGAGCGCCTGCCAGAGCCCATTTAATGACTTCTGATACATAGTCCCAGTTCGTTTTGCCAAAGAGCCCATTGGTTCTTCACCTTGTGGACTAGTTTTAGCACAGTTTTGTAGTAGTTGGATGTTACGATGTTTTAAATAGCTAATAAGTGAAAGTGGCATGAAATTATTTCTCCTTCATTTTTAGAATTATTTAATGTGATTTGTTAGTAGTAGTATGTGTGAGAATTAGATTAATTCTTCATATTCATTTGGAAAATCGGTGCCTTAATTAAAAGTGTAAAAACATGTGAAACCTTTTCTTGGGGTCTGATGTCATTCTGCTTGCATCTTTCCCTGACAGCCTGCCGATGTTCACAGTGCTCAGGAAGTTTACCATCCCGCTGACTTTGCTCCTGGAAACCATCATACTCGGGTGATTGCTCCTTCCTCGATCCTCTGACTCCTCTCTCCCTTCCCCAAAGTCTTTCTCCCTAGCAAGTCCTCAACATCCCGTCCTCTTTCCAAACAGCTGATTTGAAGTACTAGTAGCTGTAACTTAAGGATAAATAGTTTAACTTAAAAGCAGCCTCCTGTTTTTGTGATTCCCTACCAACTTAATAAATGATTTGTTTTGTTTTTATTCTTCTTCACCAGAGGATATCTTTGCCATTGATTTTCCTACAGAGAGTGGAAGTGAGGGGGAAAGACAGAGAGAGAAACATCGATGTGAGAGAGACACATCAGTTGGTTGCCTCCTGCATGCACCCTGATGGGGGCAGAGGATTGAGCCTGCAGCCCAGGTACCTTGACCGGGAATCAATCCTGGGACTTTTCAGTCCAAGGGCCAACACTCTAGCCACTGAGCCAAACTGGCTAGGGCGAGTGATTTAAAAAAAAAAAAATCCTTACTTGAGATTATGTTTTTATTGATTTGAGAAAGAGGAAGGAAGAAAGAGAAAAAAAAAAAAAAAAAAAACATTAATGGGTTGCCTCCCACATGCACCCCTAACTAGGGATGGAACCCACAACCTTTTGGTGTATAGGATGATGTCCAACCAACTTTGCCACACTAACCAAGTCATGAGTGATTTTTTTTATGGTAGTTTTACACGAGGCAAATAATGCTTGTTTGTGGTAGATATTTATTTAAAAAAAAACCCACCACCACCACCACCAAATAGATGTAAATCTGTTTCCTGATCCAGATGGAATGTACACTGATTTTGGAATACAGAGGAACAGTTGTCCACACAAAACCATTAGGGTAGGTAAGCTGGGATACCCATTCTGATGCAGAGATAGATTATGATGTGACATAATCAGAATAAGTTGATTTTTATAATGTTGGTTTAGAAATTTCTCATAAGGATACTGAGGTTGACATTCAAAAAGGTCATTCATTCCTGATTTGCTGTGAAGATTATTTAGCCATGAAATTTGGGTGGTGGCCCAGTGCTGTAAGTCCTGATGTTGAATTTTATCTTAACCTTTGTATGCTTGATAAAGTACCCACTGACTAGCCCTACTAGCACGAGCTGTTCTGAATTTTGTCTCAGCGTCTATCCAGTGAGATCAGAGAAAGACATTCATGGTCAGATGAAGGCAGTTGCTTAAGAAATGCAGTAAATTTGGTTTGACTTACTCATCTACTTAAAGATACTTTTTAAAAAATGCTTTCACTAGGTAAAGCAGTATTCATTAGATTTTAGCTATAAAACAGTTAACAATGTCTATTTTCAGTTTGTTTTAAAAATAGAATCTGTATGTTTTTACTCTCTTTCTTCCCTTGGTCTGTCTGTCTGTCTTGCTAACCATCTCTTTCTCTGGGACAGGAAACAGTATCCCTTGAGCATCATCATCAGCGTCTTTGCCATCGTTCTGGGCGCTTTCATAGCAGCTGGGTAAGACTTTGGGCAGTTGCTGCTCAGTAACTTCTTTGTGTCTGTGACAATAGGCCCAACCGCTCCCACTTTTATTTCCCATCTGGCTGAGCAGCCGGGAGACAGACCCGTCCGTGTCAGGGGAATCCCCGTGTGTTCCTGTGAAGCCAGGCTGGATCCCATGTGGGCCAGGACGTGTCTGAGAAGGTACAAAGAGAGCGTTATAGGATATTACTGCAGCTTTCCTTCATAAAAAAGGCCTCAACTGTTTGCTTTCCTTACTCAGTGTGTGTCTTCAGTATAAAACTTTTCCTTGAAAACGTGGGCAGTTGATCAAGAAGAAGAGCAGATTCATAAAGCCTGTGGATGCTGTGAGGCCTTAGGGGCCAGTGTGTCCAAGGGCAGAAACCTCTCATGACAGGCTTCGGTATGTGGAGACCTGAGCCAGTGCCAGCGCGTGCCTCCCACCTTATTCCCTGATGTGCAGCTCCATGCTGGCATTTGAAAGCTCGTCTTATTCATGAAGGCTTTTGCTCAAACAAAACCAGACGAGTCAAGTAGCTACGAAGGGAGGTGCCCTTCTCCGCGCAGCCTCGCCTTCTGGGTTCTTAGAGCTCAGCGTGGGCCAGCTGAAGACGTTTAAGGAAAGTGGTTTATAAGCATGTCTGTGAGCCGTGGCGAGGAACGGCACTTCAGGAGGGAGGGAAGCACATTCCAGAACCACTTGGCGGAAATTGAGCTGGTTAACCTGGGTGGCACCCTACTTTGGGAAGCACGCCACCCTTCCCAAATGCCCAACACGACCTGGGAGCCAGCGTGGAGCATGGGTCTCGATTTCCCCCTTTCTCAGCCCCCGCAGCCCTGGTACCACTCTGGTGGGTGACAAGTGCGTTCTGAGCTGCAGGCCAGCCAGCCGAGACCCAGCCTTCTCTCCTCTCGCTGAGATTAACTCATCCGAATGCAAGTAATCCTAGAGTGGGCTCAGTTGGATCAGCCGCCTTACGCTGCTGTAACAAACAGCCCCCGCATCTCCGATCGGGGGTTCAGCACACCAAGTCTATTCTGCTCCCACCATGCGTGCGAACCAGCACAGGTGCATGCTGGGTATGCTCTGCTCAGGGTAGCCTGAGGAATCCAGGTTGAGGGACCTTGCCTCCCTCAGGCCGGGAAGGGGCCTGTGGGGACAGGGCACGACTCTGCGAACTTTGGTCCACAGTGACGAGTTAATTCCTCTGACGGTTTATTTGCCAAATCAAGGCACATGCCCAGAAGAAGCTGAAATAGAATGTGTGTGAACAGCCCTAGCTGAACTACAAGGGTTAACCATGAATCTGCGCATTCATAAACAAGTAGATGCTTCTCAAACCTCTGTGCTTTTACTACTGGCTCCCACCCCAGCCCGAGAGAGATCTGAGAACCCAGGGATCCCCGCAGGTCCACCTCCTTCCCTCCCTCCCTCCCTCCCTCCCTCCCTCCCGCCCTCCCTCTGAGAAGTGTGGCTTTCTGCTCACTCAGCTCTGCCCATTTAGGGACGGGCCACCTTTTATTTTATTTTTAAAAATATATATTTTATTGATTTTTTACAAGAGGAAGGGAGAGAGAGAGCTAGAAACATTGATGAGAGAGAAACATCAACCAGCTGCCTCTTGCACAACCCCTACCGGGGATGTGCCCACAACCAAGGTACATGCCCTTGCCCGGAATTGAACCTGGGACCCTTCAGTCCACAGACCGTCGCTCTACCACTGAGCCAAACCGGTTTCGGGGACCGGCCACCTTTTAAACACGGAGCCGAACGTGCGCAGGCAGGAGGTTTGAGAGATTCTGTTCCTGTGACTGAGCCAGAGGATCCCGGTTGACGGTGATCTAAAATTAATGTACTTCCTCGAAAATGTATTTGTAGATACTAGTGCCAGTGGAAGCTTCGAGCAAAGCCTGGTTTAGCTGGTTGTGTTCCTGTCCTGGTGCAGCCTTTGCCCCTCTCTGCCCCCTCCTCTTTGGTTAGACATCCTCTTGTGTTGATATCGAAGGGGATAAGCAGGCCACGTTGGCATCAGTGTTATTTTGAGCGGCAGGCGGCTGAGAATCAGCAGGTGCAGGACTTCTCTGCCCTCCCCCTTCTGCCTGCGAGCGGCCCCCCCGTTTCCCCGGGAGGGGCCCCCCGTTTCCCCCGGAGGGAGCTCCCCGTTTCCCCGGGAGGGGCCCTGTCCGCTCGCAGGAACAGGAAGGCCGTTCTCGTCATGGGGTGAGGCGTCGGCATCACAGACCTCACTCACTCAGCCCTGCTCCTCGTGAGCTCCCCCATCCCCGCAACATATTCCTTCCTCAAAGCCTAAGCCCTCCTCTTCGTTAAATGGCGCAGAAGCCCCAGAGCCCACAGCTGCACCGAGTCCCACGTTTCATGTTTCCCTGTCTGCTGCCAGTTACACCCCGGCCCCGTCGCTGACCCCGAGCGGGCAGGGGGCCTCCTGGGCGGCGTCTGTCTGTGACTCATGGGTCTGATGCTGCCTGGAAGGTCAAGTGCAGCTGGGTCCGTGGCTGAGCTGCTGCTCTCCCTCCTCCCTGCTCCGCACTCCCCAGCCCTCTCCTGCCCTGTCACCTCCGAGAGGCAGAAACGGAGGAGAAGGTGTCCCAGCAGAATGGGAGGAGGGGAGCCTTAGAGGAGCCACAGAGACAGCATGGGCCCCTGCTTGGCCTTTGTGACGGACAGGGCCCTGGGGGTGCTGGGGGGGGGGGGGGTGACTGGGTACCAGATGGCAGTGTCCATTTCTCCTCTTGCCCCAGTCCCTGCCCAGCTGTCCCCACGCTGGACCCCGGGGACGGCCCTGATTGCTACAATAAGCAACGGCCGTGGGGTGTGTATGTGTGTGGGAGGGGTGTGTGGGGGCGTCGTTCCCCTTGGAAAAGCGAGCTCAGCAGGCAGGCCAGCTGGCCACTCAGCACGAGAAAGGGCTTTGCAGTCACAGGGCGGTTCGCGTCCCCTGGGGTTAAGCCGTTGGTGATGGAGGCGCCACCCGCTGCCTGATGGCCTGCTTCTGTTTGTCTGGAGGCCGAGCAGGAGAATTGGGCCTTCCCTTTCATGGGGAGCGGGGGGGGGGGGGGGGGGGGTGTAATTACTAGCATCACCCCGATCTGTCAGGGAAGACAGCGCAGGCAGCCGTGGGGCCGCGCTGTGAGCTGAACAGCCCCTCCTCCGTGCTCCCCCAGGTCCGACCTGGCGTTCAGCCTGGAGGGCTACGTGTTCGTGTTCTTGAACGACATCTTCACGGCGGCGAACGGGGTGTACACCAAGCAGAAGATGGACCCGCAGGTACCCTCTCCCGCCGTGTCCGGGCGCCGGCCTCCGCCCCCCAACTTACCTGCAGAAGGAAAATGAATTGTAAAGTCGGCGAGTAATAATGTCATTTACACAGTGTCCCTCATTTCTTCCCTGTGACCTCATCCCCGTAGCTTCTTGCTACTCCTTGCCTTGCAGAGTTTTTTGTTGACAATTGGATAGGACGGGAAAAGATGCCACCCTTTGGAAGCAATGTCAGAATATATGAAAGGGATTGTTTTGAAAGGAAATTAAAGCGAGAAGCAGCTTTTCCCCATCATCCTCTGCGGCAGGGAGAGGCTGAGAGGGACTCCCCAGTGGAGAGTCTGGGGTGAGGGCCACGGGGAAGCCCTGCTGCTTGCCGGGGGCCATTGTGACCTGACGAACTCAGACCTCAGTGTGCTCCTCTGGGGATGAGATGCCCAGAGCGGGCAGTCGCCTGTCCTGAGGGGCTGCTGGCAGGTGAGCTTTTCCTCTGAGCCACTGCCTCCACGGAGGCCCAGCCTCTCCCCAGCCAGCTGTCCTGGAGGCTCGGAGGATGGGCCGGACGTGCGTCTCTTTGTTCCAAGTTCTCTGTGTCGGGAGGGGCTGCGCTGAGGACAGGCTTATTCCCACGAGTTGTATTCACGGCCCGGGCCTTGCCCCACGCAGCCACTTGTTCTGATGGGGGCAGTTTTACACAAGCAGGTTTGTTGCCCTTTGAGAATCACAGCATGTCCCTCTGTGTGGGGAGGGGTGGAGCCACTTCAATGACAAGCATGGTTATGGGAGATTGGAAAATGAGAGACCTGGTGTCTCAACCTGCGGTTCTTTAGTGGAAAGAGCTTTGCAAGGCCAAAGCTAGATCAAATTTTCTTCTTCTTCTTCTTTTTTTTAATTTACTGATTTCAGAGAGGAAGGGAGAGAGAGACAGAAACACCAATGATGAGAGAGAAGCATTGATTGGCTGCCTCCTGAACGACCCTTACTAGAGATTGAGCCTGCAATCCGGGCATGTGCTCCTGACCGTGATCGAACCGGGGACCTTTCAGTCCGCAGGCTGATACTTTGTCCACGGAGCCAAACCAGCTGGGGCAGCCTATTAACATTTTTTATGTTTTTTTAGTTTTTTAAATTTTTGTCCCAGAGTTCCAAACACTTGCTTTAAAGAAAGTGAGGATGTCAGGGAAGGGTGGCACCTTGGAGGTCACCCATCTCCCTCCGTGTTATCTGTCCTTCCCGTGGGACACAGATGTTTGTTCTGAGGTGACAGTGCACCCGGAGGGCAGCATTTTATGTCGGGAATGTGCTGACCTGGCCCGCCCAGAGCTGCCAGGTGGGTGCTCAGTGCAGACATGCGCTGTGGTGGTGGGACGGTGCTGAGCGGAGTTTCGTTGTCGCAGGAGCTGGGCAAGTACGGGGTGCTCTTCTACAACGCCTGCTTCATGATCCTGCCCACCCTCGTCCTCAGCGCCTCCACCGGGGACCTCCGGCAGGTGAGCCGCCCGCCACGCCCTCCCTAGCAGCCGGAAGTTTTCATACGTCGCCTCCGGTCCCGCTGGAATTAAAGGGGAGCAGGTTGCAGGGTTCCATGACAGCGAGATGACCAGGGTCCCAGGGATGACCTTTCCTGGGCCTGGAAGGTGGCCGGGAGCTTCTGGGGAAAAGCCCCAGAAAAGTTCCAGAGTGAGTTGCTGTGGGGTCGAACCCTATATTCAAAATAAGACCCCCGGAGGCTGCTAATTGATTAAAAAAGCAGGCAAGGATTTATTGAAATAACTGGCCAGGACAGTCGAGAGAGCACCACACGCAGGTGGAGTCCACACTCACCTTTTAAAGGTCTAAACCACAGAAATTTTCCTTTGTTCTCAATTCTAAATTATAAATGCTTGGAACAACCTGCAGGGCAGCTCCCAGCCACATCCTGCTGGGCTTTGGAATGTGGCCCTGTCTTGCGAAAGCAGATAGTACAGAAGCAGAGCCGAGTGGTTAATCTCTAAAGGTTACCTACAGTTTCTACTCCTGAAGCTACTGAGTCAGTGGGAATCCGTCTCCTGTGGTCCAGGTCCACAGGCACAGGAAAACTGCCTCAGCCTCCAGGTCTCAACCTGGAAGCTGAGGCAACTACCCTATGTTGAAGCAAGTCAGCGAGTGCCGAAGCCAGAATAGCAGGGCTAAAATTCAAACGGCAATTCTTACCTACCGTACTGGCTGCTACCGTACTTCACGAGTCTTGCTGCCCCTTGATGATGTGGGGAGCCTGGGAAGAGGGTTTTGACGTTAAACGTGAACTTATTTATTTATTACTACCTCGGTCATGGGCATTTAAAACCCAGGCAAAGGAGAGAGAATGACTGAACGAGCTCAGGGGCCCACCCAGCTTCCACGCTGCCTGGCATCTTCCTATTCACCTGGCATGTCTCTCCGTGCCTCCCCCCCCCCCCCCCCCAATACTTTAAAGCAAGTTCCAGACACCCTGCCCTGTTGTCTCGCACCCGGGCCCTGTGTTTAAGTCGGGAGGAGGTATTTTCTTTGGGTGTCGGTGCTGCACACCAGCGCGGGCAGGAATGCAGGAGGCCCCTGGAGGAGGGGGGCCGTGCTCAGGGGTGTGTGACCGGGACAGCGGCCGCGGGGTGCCCGCCCTGCCCGCCCTCCAGGAGCGCTGCCTGCACCTTCAGCAGACGGTTAAGTCCAGGTGAGACCTTAGGGGCTGGGCAAACCCTCCTCCATGGCCTGCGCCAGCCCTGCTGCGGCGTTACCCCCGCGGTGCTGGGCTGCAGTGGGTCTGAGAGGACGGCAGCCGTCCTGGAGCTGGCTCAGCGGTGCGGCTGGGGGTGGGGGGTGGGGGGAGGGTGGGAGGGGGCGCTCAGGCTGGGAGGCAGGCCCCCGCTGTCCTTCAGGGCGGGAAGGCTGCCTGCAGGCTTCCAGGGCCTCCTGGGCTGATGGCAGGCCCCCTGTTGTTTCTGAGACTCCTGTCTCTCCCGCACAGTTCCTCCCGGGACAGCAGGGGGCTGGGCAGGGGCCTCCTGTGAGAGAGCCTCGAGGGGCAGGTTTCTTCCTCCCAGCGCTGGGCCAGGACACGCTTCTCCAGTGGCCGTTTCCCCCGGGGCTGCCTCCTGTCAGAGGCATCAGCCATGTTCATGTTTTCTTTCCAAAACGGCCCCCCACGCCAGCGTCCCCGCAGGCTGCCTGGCGCGGGGCTCCCTGCATTCAGGTGTGCAGAGCTGGGAGGGGAGCACCCCTCCAACCCCCTGCAGCAGGCTGGGCGGGGAGCACAGTCACCCCCAGCGGCCGGGCTGAGCCATGGACAGGGGAGAGGGGCAGCCTCGGGGGAGGTTTATCCCAGGTCCCACCTCGCAGCTCGGCCCATGTCGTCGCCACGGAAACGCGTTTTCCCTGGGAAGCCCCCCCCCCCCTCGTCCACCTGGGAAGTCAGACAGGTGGCTCTCAGGCCGGTTCAGAGAGGGCGTAGGTTTCTCTCTCGAAGTGGAAATCTAGACATTCCGAGAAACTCGCCCAGCACCCGGTTGGAAGGAGAAGCATCCTTCCCCGTAGGAGCCGTGCTATGAGGGCACGGCGGCCAGAAGCCAAGCCTCGGGGGCCTGCGGAGCAGAGTGGCTGGACAGTGTGTGCGGCCTTCCCTGCTCCCGCCTCAGCCTGTGCTCCAGGCCAGGGAGAGTGTGTGCCGCCTTCCCTGCTCCCGCCTCAGCCTGTGCTCCACCAGGGAGAGTGTGTGCGGCCTTCCCTGCTCCTGCCTCAGCCTGTGCTCCACCAGGGACAGTGTGCAGCCTTCCCTGCTCCCGCCTCAGCCTGTGCTCCAGGCCAGGGAGAGTGTGTGCGGTTTTCCCTGCTCCCGCCTCAGCCTGTGCTCCAGGCCAGGGAGAGTGTGTGCGGTTTTCCCTGCTCCCGCCTCAGCCTGTGCTCCACCAGGGACAGTGTGCGCGGCCTTCCCTGCTCCTGCCTCAGCCTGTGCTCCACCAGGGAGAGTGTGTGCGGCCTTCCCTGCTCCCCGCCTCAGCCTGTGCTCCACCAGGGAGAGTGTGTGCGGCCTTCCCTGCTCCCGCCTCAGCCTGTGCTCCACCAGGGAGAGTGTGTGCAGCCTTCCTGCTCCCGCCTCAGCCTGTGCTCCGGGCCAGGGAAGGCCTCGAGAGGGTTTCCTCCTCCCCCAGCTGGGCCAGGACACGCTTCTCCAGCGGCCGTTTCCACCGGGGCTGCCTCCTGTCAGAGGGTGAGTGGACACAGGAGAGGAGGCGTTTCTGTCAGAGGCCTGTGCGTCCCCTGTCAAAGGCACTGCACTTGCCCCGTGGGGTTTGTACCAGGAGCTGATTCATGAGCTAAACCACATGTCAGCTTCCGTTGTCGGTGGAAGGAGCACGTGCTGAGTCCGTTTCCTGGCTGGCTGGAGAGGGTCCGTGGTGTGTGTGCGTGGGGTGGGGGGTGAGATGGAGATGGTGGGGGGTGGAGATTGGGGGGACGCGGTGAGCCGCTGTGTGGGGTCGCCCCTGGGCCTGGACTTCACAGGCAGTAGGTCTGCCAATAGCAGCGACTGTTCGGATTGGGCCTCTGTGAGAACTCTCAGTGGGTGAGCTTTCTTTAGTCATTTGAATCAAAGTGCTTATTTTTAAAAAATGATTTAAAAAATTTAAAATTATAGTTGACACACAATACTGTATTAGTTCAGGTGTATTGATGAATACAGTATTGATGAATACTGAATACAGTATTGATGAATTCAGTATTGATGAATACTGAATACAGTACAATGTATTGATTAGACACTTATGTTTATGTGACTTAAGAAGTGATCACCTGGGGAAGTCCGGTGCTCGCGCCCTGACACGGTCTGACACAGTCTGTGGTTATCACCGTGTTACTGACCGCATCCCCCCGGCCTTTCCCGCTCCTGTGCTGGCTGCCTGGCCACGTGCCAAGAACAGTTAGTGTGCTACAGGTGATGAATAGGGATAAGTATGCCTTCTTATGGTTAGAAAGTCCTTAAATGCAAATGAAAAGGATTCATATACCAACATATTTTTACAGCAATAATAAGTGTAAAGGAAGAAGTACTTTATTGTTATTCATGAATTGTTTTCTCGGTTTTAAATGTCATGCTATCTTGTGTTGTTGTTGTTGTTGTTGTTGTTTTAATATATTTTATTGATTTTTTTTTTAAGTGAGGAAGGGAGAGGGATGGAGAGCTAGAAACATCGATGAGAGAGGAACATCGACCAGCTGCCTCCGGCACACCCCCCACTGGGGATGTGCTCACAACCAATGTACATGCCCTTGACCGGAATCGAATCTGGGACCTCTCAGTCCATAGGCCGACACTCTATCTATTGAGCCAAACCAGTTTCGGCTTGTGTTGTTTTTTTTAAAAATGCTACCCACACAGCCTCATCATTATGGGAGAAACAAAACCAAAACCTGTCAAACTTCCAGCTGGCAAAGAACCCCAATGTTGTGATTCATGAACATTTCTCCATCGCCCCTGGTCATGTGGCTTCAGGAATATATAGTGTTCACTTACTGTTGACACATGTATGGCCATTCTTGGAGTAGGTCAGTATTAGCTTGTTCCCAATTGTATCTGACATTCAGACGGAGAAAGCCGTCCATAGTTTCTCTTTGGTTCTGATCTTAGTCCTGGCGTCAGCCATGGGGATGGTTTCTGCCCCTTTGATCGGCCTGAGGCTTGCCCGTCACTATGACAGGTTTGTGTTCACTGCATATTTTTCTTTAACAAGTAAGCACTTTTTGAAAAATGTTTTAAGATGGAGACTTTCAAACCTATGCAGAAGGAGAGAGAATAGTATAATAATCCCCATGCATCCAGCAACCAGTTTCAGAAATAATCAACATTTAATGTGTGTCTTTTTTTTTTTTTTTTTTTTTTTTTTTTTAATCCTCGTCAGAGGAAACATTTTCCATTGATTTCCAGGAGGGGAGAGAGAAGAAAGAAATCGACGTGAGAGAGACATATTGATGGTGCACTGACTAAGGCTGGGAAACCTGCCACCTGGTACATGCCCTTGACCAGGAATCAAACTCCTGATCCTTTGGTCCTTAGGCTGACGCGCTAACTGCTGAGCCAAACTGTGCATCTTTTTATGAGAGGTGGGCAAAGCATTACTAATGAGATAAGGACTGTGAAGTGTGACAAGGCTGTAGTAATCATACCAGAGAATTCCATTTAATTGGTTTAAACAGTTTAAATTATAAACTTAAGAAGGATTTAAATAATTTCAAACATAAAATTATTAAAACTTGGCTAACAGTATTGCTTCACAGAAAGTGAATAGAACTTACATTTAATCATGTTATTCATAATTATGATACTTAGGTATAGTCTTGAGTCACCTTAAAATTATTTTTGGAGGCAGGCAAGAGACAAATCATGAATCAAATACTCCTTTTTATTGTCACCTGACATTTGAAGAGGGTTGATTTTATTTTCTTAGCTGGGGACTAAGAGCAGAAAGCGTGTCTTAAACTTCTCTGTCCACTGGCTACTCAATCGAAGTACTTGATTGCTTTGTAAACAGCAAATAATTGTTTATTTGTTTGTGATACTTACTAAGCATTTGCAAGTTCTTGAAAACTTAAAGGTTTCTTAAGTTCATAATTAATAATTAATGCCAGTATTATTAACTTTATAATATACTTTCTTCTAAGGTTATTTTATAGAAAGTAAACCCAACCTGACTTTGTGACTACAATTTTAGTGAAGATTTAACGATAACCATAGCAACATAACTACCCTTTTGTCCTTGTCACCTGCAAGGTTCTAAACAATTTCATTAAGTCCTCAGATCAATCTTTTGAGGATGTTTTAAGAAAATAATCTTTACTTTGTAAAATGAACCTGAGGTTTTAGGGAAGAAGAGTAGTTTGCCCAATCTCACATAATAGGTACTGCCTAGGATTTAAAAAATATATATATTTTTTTCTCTTTGGGAACTTGGTTCATGTACTAAATAAAATGCACAACTTGGTGAAACCAGTGGATGTAAACTGTAACATTATTAATCTAATCATTCGTTTTCTTCAGGCTACTGAATTCAACCAATGGAAGAATGTTCTATTTATCATACAGTTTCTTCTTTCCTGTTTTTTGGGGTAAGAAACCATAGATAAGTACAAGTTTGGTCTATGGCTCCTCTTGACAGGTAATACAAAACAATATACATTCTCTCTGTTCTGTCAAAATTCCTTTGTTTGGGCTTCTCCACCTTTCTCTGGAAAGCACCCCTGCAGCAGAGGGGTGGTCTGGGACCCATGTCACATGTCACAGTCCATTGCAAACATCATGTTGCCTATTAATAGGCAACATCATGTTTGGAATGAAGTTAGCTGACCTGTCAGATTCCGTACTGTGTTTGTCTCTGTCACAAAGTCCTATGTTTTCCAAGCTCCACCCCACATACACAGTGGAAATGGCAACCATTTTCTTAAGTGCTGTACCTGCTGTGTTCAGGGAAATTTCTGAGAGATGACAAGGTCATTATGTTGTCTAATAATTTTAGGCTTTTGTTCTTAAAAAGTTTCTTAGGAATATTCTCCTGTTAGAGCCATGCAGCCGTGTCTTTCTTTTCTCCTCCTCCTCCTCCTCCTCTTCCTTCTCTTTCTACTACTTCTTATGTTCCCTGAACTTGAAAATTTTCAGGAACAGGTAATACATGCAACTAACAAATAACCCAAACCTGCAGCCACCCTTCCTCCCTCCCTCTTCCTTCTTCATCCCTCCGCTGTCCCTGCTCCCCCCTCTCCACGCCCTTCCTCTCCCCAACAGCCCCTCGGGGTTCCCCTGCAGAGACAAGCACTGATTAAAGTCTTTGGAGCATGCTTCCAGGGCTGGGCTCCATGTGGATACAAGCACCTGTGTCTTCTCCCACACAGAATGGTTTTTGCCTGAGTCTCAGGGAGTTACTTATCAAAAGGCTTTTCCTGTGAAGAAAGATGAATTTCCTTTATTTTTTTTTTAACTGTGAATGCTGCCATTTTAATTATGCGTATCTGAAGAAAGGTAACTCATGATCTCTTTGATCAGCACTCAATTTTCAAACTGGGTTTTAATTGCATAATACAGCCACACACAGTAAAAATATTTATGTAGGCCCTAGCCAGTTTGGCTCAGTGGATAGGCATTGGCCTGCGGACTCAAGGGTCCCAGGTTCAATTCCGGTCAGGGGCATGTGCCTAGCATGTTGGAGTGAGTAGGGGCTGTGGTGGGAGGGGAAGCGCGTGGCAGACAGTGACTGTTGGGTGGAATTACTGAAGTCCTGGGGCATGCGCACACTTTATAGAGGAAAAAGGGAAACAGTTGGGAAGGATGGCAAAAAGCCATTGTAAGGAATAAAGGCTACTAGAAACAGCAAATGACAGGAAGGGCAGGTGTGAAAGATGAGGAAAAACGCGGCTCAACAAACCACTCTTCCCTCATGCCAGGGTTTCAGGAGTCATAAGGGCCCGTCCCCAGCCGGCGCACGACGAATGCTGGTTTCGAGCCTGGCACCCCGGCTAGAAGCCGCCCGGAACACCAAATTGGCCAATGAGGGGAGAGGCGGGGCACCGAGACGGCCTAGGTCGCCAAATGGGCCCACCGCAGCCACTGAGTGGGCCTGGCCAAGCTAGCCTGGAGCATTTGACTTCATAGGAGATCTGGTGGAGCCCGCGATGATTTGCACGGAGAGCACTGGGAGCGCCCCAGTGCGACAAGCCTTTAAAGGCGGCCAGTTCAATAATTTTTACAGTTAGGGCGCCATAGCTTACGCTTCCACTTGACCTGCCATCTTACAGCGCCGTATCACAGAACATCTCCTATTGTTGCCCTTATGTAAGGTGTCTTTGATCACGTAAAACCCTATATATTGTTCTAGTTTTACCATCCCTGCATGTCCTAGAAACCGCGGTGTATTGTGGGTGCAGTATGCAAAAGACCGGGCAGACGCAGCCCCGCCCCCCGGCATGCAGGCGAGGGGGCGGGGCCGCCGCGGGCACCCTGCGTTCCTCGCGGGGGCGGGAGGTGGCGGAGGCGGGGAGGAGGCCGCCTCCGGGAGCCGCCCTCGGGGGCCCACGGGCCATGAGGGCGCGACTCTAGGCGGCCGGTCGGAGCACGCGGCCCCCCGAGCCCCGGGGCCGGGACCCAGCGGCGGCGGCCCTGCACCCGCGCTCGAACCCGCACCCCCAACCTAAACCCCAACCCGCTCGTCCACACGCGCGACCGGCTCTTCCACGCGCTCTTGTTCACGATGGATAGATAGGCATTGGCCTGTGGACTCAAGGGTCCCAGGTTCGATTCCAGTCAGGGGCATGTGCCTTGCTTGTGGGCACAATCCCCAGTGGGAGGTGTGCGGGAGGCAGCTGATCCATGTTTCTCTCTCACTGATGTTTCTAACTCTTTCTCTCCCTTTCTCTCTGTAAAAATCAATAAAATATATTTTAAAAAATTATGTAGAATTTAGTAATTCTCTCTGTAGCTGTGTCTGACTTAATGTTTAACCCGGTGATGGAGTTTTTTATTTGAACAATTTTATGTTTTATTTGTCCAAGTTCACAGCCTTTCCCCAAACTTCTCATTCTTTCATTGGCAGTCCTTGTGACTCTACCTTTTATTTCCTTAAGTGTCATGTGCATAGCTATTCTGTGTTCTGTGTCTCATGATTCCAACATCCACAGTTCTTGAGAATCTAAATATGTACTTTATTGACTGACTGTGTAGTTTGTGACTGTCATTATGGTCTTCTTTCTCGTGTGCTTGATGACTTGTGATTGTGAGTCTGTTGCTTAATCTTAATCAGGCCTATTGGCTGAGATTGGGAATTTGAGAAACTTGCCTATAGGAACAAATCGATTTTGCTCCAGCTGATTGCCCCTGATTGCCCCTGTCCACACTTGAGGCTTTTTTGAGGGTCTGAGTATGAGGGCTACCGTGGTCGCCGCCCTCCCCCCCCCCCCCCCCCCACACACACACACCTGGAGTTTGGCCCAGGGTTCAGTTTCAGACAGTGCTGTTCTGCTCTGACTGACCCTGCCCCACTGTCTTCGGCCCTGACTGTTGCCTGGCCCTGATTGCTTACTGCTCTGCTCCAGTCCCTCCTCTTTCAAAGGAGTGACTTTTAATGACCTTGTGTGCACAGGTACTTATTTGCATATAGAAATACATTCTGTTTTTTAGAGAGAAAAAGAAAATACACCACTTTGATCTTGTGGTTTTATATTCATCCCCTTTGGGGACACCTAGTGGTTGCAATGAGAACTGCAGCCTTTCTGTGGAGACTCAATCTAAGATCTGCTGGCGAATTCAGACCCGACCTCCCCAGGACCTCAGAGAGGGGGCTCCTCCCCAGCTGTCCAGTGAGTGTCCTGGTCGCCCACACTCGTGGTAGATGGACACTGGAGTCTTAGATCTGAGGTGTCCGTGATTCTGAACGCAGGCCCAGATGGTTTCACTGAAACGTGGGATGGAGAAAATGGGAGACCAGAACCCTGGGATAGGAACTTCAACGTGAAAAGAACACTAAAGCATGTCCATGCTCGTCCTGGTGTGAGGCCGCAGTGCCGGTGGGGAAGCCTCCTGGACCTTTCCCGCGTCCCTGAGTGGGCTTGGTCCCTGCCTGGGCTGCACGCTCTGATTTTGTAGATTCAGCTCCTCCGGAGCAGAAGCTGGGCGCTGCCTCTGACCTGGGCCGCCCCTCATGGCCGCAGGCTGCGTTTGTTAATCTCTGCGTTTTATGCATGAGCGGGATTGTTTATAGTTCCTCGGGGCTCTACAGGAATGTTCAATTTATTAAAAATGTAAAAATTAAAACGGAGGTTTTGTTAAGCCTTTAATATGTAAATACTGCTGCTCGACTTATAAAGCCAGTAATTTTTGCATAAACATAACTTTACTTTCATTATTTGATTAATGGTTTGTTATCTCAAGTTTAACTGATTAAAATCTCCTAACCAATTCACTGTAAATTAGTTCCATTTACTTAGTGAATTGAAAGTTTTTTTTAACCCCTTAAAACTGCTTTTACAATGATTTCCCCAGGAATTTCAGGCCCCATGTGGCCCTAGCAAAGCTAAGGAACCTGGTAGCGCTGCACAGCAAAGCAGCCCTCCGAAATCTAAGAAACCGAAGTTGGAAATAAATCAGCTTCTTTTCAACGTGCGAGTAGCGAGTGCCGATTTTCTCAGGTTCTCCGACTCCTCTCTGGTCCGGCAGCTCCACGTCAGAGCCACACAGGCTGAGGGGGCGGCTCTCTCACCTGTCAGAGGGCTGCAGTTACCTCGAGAACAGGCTTTTTTCCCCCTGAGAATTACAAAATTGAAGATTGTCATTGAGTCTGTTCCTCAACTTTATGTTAACGCGTGATGTGCTTTACTTTTTGTTGTCTACCACCCCTGCTAAGAAACATGTCAGGCCAAACACCGTCCCTGTTCTGGTCCTGGTTCTGCTGCCAGCAGTGAGAGAGTCGGGCCTGGACTGGACACTGAGCGCTGAATTCCCGCAGGGTTTATCCTCCAGGCGCACAGGCTGAGTCCTCTCGTGGGGTTCCCTCTGCTCCTGCCTTCCAACTGGGGTTTGGCGTTCAAATCCAGCGTCATTCCTCCCCGCAGCATGTAAGCACCCGATTCAGGTGGGTGGTATTTTGCACCCCACTTAGCTTGAAGCCAGTTTCCTTCACTACTTGGTGGCAACGCATCTCTTTCTTCCTGTCCCCGTGACGGGGCTGTCGGTTCTTTCTGGGCGGGTGCGTTTTCCTGTCCGGTGCGTGGGCACAGGCCTGTGGGCATTTTGCATGAGGGTAAGAAAGGGCTGACAGTGTCGAATGCCTGGCCGTTAACTTTGGTAACAGGGACGGGGTGTCACCGACACGGGAAATCCATTCACGTCAACCGCCTTTGTCCAAAGCCAGCGGCTGCTCGCTGATCGCCATCCTGACACCTGGCTGCTCAGCGCTGGGCTTTGTTTCGGAGCTGAGACTGTCTGCGGGCTGCCTCCCCACCCCACTCCCCCCTCCGCCCCTGTCTCTAGGAGGACAGTCTCTGCCAGGCACCATCCTGTGGAAACATGCGCCCGGTGCCCAGGCTGGTGGCTCAGTGGTTAGAGGGCCAGCCTCAAGTTCAATTCCCAGTCAAGGGCCTGGACCTGAGTTGCAGGTTCTGTCCCTGCCCAGGTCAGGGCATGTGCAGGAGGCAGCTAATCAATGTGTCTCTCCCACATCGATGTTCCTCTCTCTCTCTGCCTCTCTCTCTCCCTCCCTTCCTCCCTCCCATTCTCTCTAAAACCAAAAATCAGTGGGAAAAATATCCCCGGGTGAGGATTAACAACAACGAAGTGCACCAGGTGATTCTGAAGCACAGGGGGGTGAAAACCCAGCACTGTGGTGGAGCTGTCAAACCAAAGATCTCAGATCATTTAAAAAGTCTCATTGTTCCTACCCCCATTTCGAGGAACCGTGAACGGGAGAGAGACAGACAAAGTGAAAAGAACGCGTAAGGTAGGAAGGCTGGCCAGTGCGGGCCTGGACCTCCTGTGGAAGGTCAGCGCTGAGAGCCGATGTGTCGTGGGGGTCCAGTCCTCGCCAGGCGCGGGTCCCTCTCGGACGGAAGCTGCGCGGCCGCCGGCTCAGCTGTCGCTCCCTCGCAGGTTCCTGCTGATGTTCTCCACCGCGCTGTGCAGCCACTACAACTCGGCACTGACCACGGCCGTGGTGGGGGCCATCAAGGTGAGGGCTGAGGCCGGGAGTGCGTGTGTGTGTGTGTGGTGTGTGTGGGTGGGTGGGTGTGGGTGTGTGTGTGAGGGTGTGTGTGTGTGTGTGGTGTGTGTGTGGGGGGGGTGTGTGTGTGGGGTGTATGTGTTTGTGTGAGGGTGGGTGTGTGTATGTGTGGGGTGTGTGTGTGTGTGTGAGGTGTGTGTGTGTGGTGTGTGTGTGTGGGGTGTGTGTGTGGGAGGGGGTGTGTGGGGTCTGTGTGTGGGGTGTATGTGTGTGTGTGTGGGGTGTGTGTGTGTGTGTGTGTGTGTGTGGGGTGTGTGTGTGTGTGTGTGGGTGGGTGTGGGTGTGTGTGTGGGGTGTGTGTGTGTGGGGGTGTGTGTGTGTGTGTTTGGTGTGTGTGTGTGTGTTTGGTGTGTGTGTGTGTGTTTGGTGTGTGTGTGTGTGTGTGTGTGTGGTGTGTGTGGTGTGTGTGTGTGGGGGGTGTGTGTGTGGTGTGTGTGTGGTGTGTGTGTGAGTGTGTGTGTGTGGGGTGTGTGTGTGGGGTGTATGTGTGTGTGGGGGGGTGTGGGGTCTGTGTGTGGGGTGTATGTGTGTGTGTGTGGGGTGTGTGTGGGGGGGGTGTGTGTGTGTGTGTGTGTGGTGTGTGTGTGTGTGTGTTTGGTGTGTGTGTGTGTGTGTGTGTGTGTGTTTGGTGTGTGTGTGTGTGTGTTTGGTGTGTGTGTGTGTGTATGGGGGGAGTTGAGGGAGGTGGAGGTTGAAACAGGACTTTCTGGGCCGTAGAGACCTGAGTTTGGTTTGCTGTTATCAGAGGTAAGAGTGCAGGCCGTGACATTTCCAGCTGTGCCTGGGCCATCATCACTTCTTCCGTCTTCTAACCCAGCGGTCGGCAAACCGTGGCTCATGAGCCACATGTGGCTCTTTGGTCCCTTGAGTGTGGCTCTTCCACAAAACACCACGGCCTGGTGAGTCTATTTTGAAGAAGTGGCGTTAGAAGAAGTTTAAGTTTAAAAAGCATGGCTCTCCAAAGAAATTTCAATCGCGGTCCTGTTGATCTTTGGCTCTGTGGACTAATGAGTTTGCCGACCACTGGTCTCACCCATGAAACAGAGGGAGGACGAGCTAATTGCAGAAGGGGAGGCACATTATGCTGTTTTCATTGGGGGTGGTGCAGGGGCGTGGGCTGGGGAAATGGGTAAGAAAGCGTGGCCGTGGACCATGGCCACGTTCCCGCACTCGCCGAGACGCCCTGTCATCTGGGTTTCCTGGGGGAATCTGCCCACGAAGAAAGCCACTGTGCAGACAGCCGCTCCGTGGCCAGTGCCCCGCTCCCCGGGGGCCTGGGCACGGCGTGCGTGCAGGCAGCAGAGTGCACATACGGCCAGGAGCACCGGGCCTGTCCTCCTCCACGGTTGCTCTGTTTCCTCCTCACGTGGACTGGGTGGGGAGGCTCCCGGGCCCGGCTGTGCGCAGCTGCCAGAGGCCTGTGGCACGCTGGGCAGAGCGCGGCGTGGAATGGACGAGACGCCTCTGATCCGTTCAAGTTCAGGGTCAATATAAGGAAAGTTCACTACCCAGTGATGGCAGAGAGATGGGCTCTGGGAGGCGGATTATTACCCGACTCCTGCCTCTTCTTCCTGTGTGTGACGCACGAAGGATGCCTCGCCACAGTTCCCTTCGTTTGTTCGTCCAGCATTCTGTGAGCACCTCCTATGTGCAAAGCAGCTAAAACTGTTCGTTTCAGACCTCACCGTAGACATGCATCTCCCCCCTAAACTCTGCGCTTTTAAAACGGCCGGTCCTCGCTTCCCTGCAGAACGTGTCCGTTGCCTACATTGGGATGCTCGTCGGCGGAGACTACGTTTTCTCCGTGTTAAACTTCATTGGGTTAAATATCTGGTAAGTGGGGGGTCTCAGGGAACTCATTTTTGCAAAATATGAATTGGTGAACGTCTGACTGACCCATAATAAAAGGGTAATATGCAAATTGACCCATCGGCCGAACAGCAGAATGACCGTCAGGATGACGGCACTGTGACACGCACTGGTGCCAGCCCAGCCACGGCGGGTGCGCTGTGGTTGGTTGGGGGGCTCCCCTGCCATCGCCCCATGATCGCCCGGCAGAGGAAGGCCCAGGCCAGCCAAGTGACCACACCCCACGCCTGTCGCCTGCAGAGGGAGGCGACCAGTAACGGGGGCGGGGGGGGGGGGGGGGACAGGAGAGGCAGCGCCACACAGATGGCAAGCAGTGGCAGCGGCGGGGGGCAGGGCCAGATGCCAGCAGCTGGGGCAGGGGGTGGGGGGAGGAGAAGGAAAGCCCCGATAGGCCCTGATCACCGGCCAGGCCTAGGAACCCTACCCGAGGGGTCCCGGATTGCGAGAGGGCACAGGCCTAGCTGAGGGACACCCCTCCTCCCTGTGCACGGATTTCGTGCACTGGGCCTCTGGTGTGTTATACGCGAAGGAGTAGTTGTTTTGACATGCCAGTTTCTAAGATAATTTCGCTTCAACCACTCGGTTCATCTGCTTCCCCTCGAGTGTCACGAGTAATGGACCTTCCAGGGCTGAGGTCGGCTCTAATGCACGCGCCTTCTTCCCGGCAGAGCCTGCGGTGTGCCTCTCTCTGGCGCGGTGGCCGCAGTAACCTTGGGCGCCATCGGAGCGCCACGGGCTGGGGACAGTGGGAGGGAGACCGAAACGCTTTCAAAGGACACGCTGGGTCCCAGGCCTGGGGCGCTATTTTAGGGTGATAAGGTACAGTGTATTCAGTAATAACCAAGTGCTTATTTTCTCAACAAAGTTCTGTATTAGAGTTGATCTACTTTTTTTTTTTTTTTTTTCTGCCCCCAAAGATTTCTGAGCTAAGAGGGGTAATTCTCATCAAGTAACCTAAAAGCAGGGATAAAGCCGGGCTGGCAAGCTCCCCTCTGAGGGAGCTGACCGAGCTGAGGAGCCGAGCAGCCGCAGGCGCTCTGTCTATCTCCCTCCCTCTCCCTGCAGCATGGCGGGCGGCCTGCGGTACTCCTTCCTGACGCTGAGCGGCCAGCTCAGGCCCAGACAGCCTGCGGACGAGGAGAGCGGCCCCCCGGACCTGAAGGCTTAGACGCTGGGCAGCATCGCGGGCTCCAGGCCGCCGGGCGGCTGAGGGTGTGCTCTGACCATGGACGTGGGCCGCCCTCTGGTTAAAGCAGGAAAAGGAATGTCTGCCAAACGCAAAGAGAACTACCTCTCGGGCACTGCCCAGTGAGCCCCGCCACCCGGAGGACTGTCCTCTGGCAAAGCCTCGTGGGCCCAAAGGGAATCTCGGAATAAGCCAGTGGGTACTGGCTCCCCACTTCCCCCTGCCCCCTGGAGAGGCCGGGCGGCTGCCCTCTGCTGTCCGGGGACTGCAGGTGCCTGAGGAGGTGCCAGGCGCTGGGAGGAGGTGCCAGGCGCTGGGAGGAGGTGCCAGGCACTTTCTCACCAGCACCTTGGCATCATGGCAAAGGTCCCAGCCCAAGCAGCGCCTTGCAAACAGGCGCGTCTTTATTTTCACAAAATTATCCTATTTTCACAAAATTATCCAATCAACTGCCAGTACAATCACCTGTTCGCTTCCATTCCATCTTACACGTTGGTATTTTCCAGCCGTCGAAGTGAAATAAAAAAATAACCCATGCGCACGCCTCCTGCTGTGTGTGATACTCCGGTGGTGGCCAGGCTGGAGGAGGGTCAGCTTTTCCCGGCCTGAGGGGGACTCCCGCTCCTCGGAGGGTCTGAGTGGGGGAGTCACAGCACAGCCCGGGGGACACACCACGAGGCCGCGTGTGCCCGTGACGCCTCAGTGGGTCAGCTCCCTCCCATCTCCCTCCGGTGTGTTCAGGGGCCGTGACCCTCAGACCACGTGGACTTGAACCACAGGCCCATTTCCTTCCCTCAGCCTGCTGGCCCCCGGCCCTGGGTGTGGGGAGGCCCCCCTCGTGCATGCGAGTTATTTCTACTCTTCACTGTGAGGGGTCGGGTGCAGGCAGGCCTCAGGCTGAGCTACGAGAGCCCTTCCCTCCAGCCCTGTCTCTGCTGCCCACCCAGCCCGCCTGGCCAGACCAGGCCTTTCCTCCCCGCCGGCTCTAACTGCCTGCGTTTTTGGGAGCTGAGCCGATGTGGCCAGAGCAGCAAACAAAGGAATGGTTGTGCTGATGTGTTGTGCCAACTTAACATTTTTACATTTAAAATACACACAAAATGCACTCTCTCTGCCATTTCTGAGCACCCCGTTCAGTAGTGCTTGAGAGGGCAGGGCGGGGTGAGGGGGCAGGGAGGGGAAAGAGGGCAGGCGGGGGGAGAGGGCAGGGTGGGGCGGGTCCAGCTCCCGGTAACTGGACCCTAGGCCTAACCCAACCAATCATGTCAGCCAAGGTAGCAGCACCACCCTCCCTATAAAACCCATTGGTATGTTAAGTTCTTCCTCTTTCTCGCCCATGCCCTCGTTGGTGTGGGTGAGACTGGGTTCGGACTAGTCCGAAATAAATACAGGCTTTCTGCAATTGCATCGGATTCGGCTCCCTGGTAGTCTTTGGGGTTTATGACACTTGGGCATAACAGTGCTCAACATAGTCCCACGTGGTTCTGCCGATCTCGGACCTTTCTCACCTTGCAAACGGAACTGTGTCCCTTACCCAGCGACTCCTCCGGCCCCTTCTCCGAAGGAGGCCACGGTCTGCTCCCCGCCTGCGGGAGCTGGGCCTTCCCTGCCTGCAGGAGGGGGTCACACAGCGTCCCCCTTCCGTGACGGCCCATTGCACTCAGGAGAAGGGGCCTAGTGCTGGCTGCCGGGGCACAGGCCACGTCTGTTCGCCCACCAGCGGCTCCTGGCTTTGCACTTGCTGGCCACGAGTGGACATGGCTGCTGTGAGCCTCGGTACGCCGTGTCTTTGAGACCGTGCTTTCAGTTCTTTCTGGATATTCTTTTTAACCCTTATTGATTGATTTTTAGAGGAAAGGGAGTGAGATGGAGAGAAACACCACTTGTTCCACCTGCTGTGCACTCAGTGGTGCTTCGTGTGTGGGCCCTGACCCGGGCAGCGCCCGCAGCCTTGGCTGGTCAAAGTAAAGCCCGCTTCCTCGGCCGAGGAGTACCTCTGACACCAAATGTGCGGCCCTTCTGTCACCCCCAGCCATTCTCCAGCTATCTGGACGCCGGTGACACTTCCTGCAGCTGGCACAGGCCTGCAGCCAACACAGACCCCACAGCCAGCACAGGCCCCGCAGCCGGCACAGACCCCGCAGCCGGCACAGGCCCCACAGCCGGCACTGACCCCGCAGCCGGCACTGACCCCGCAGCCGGCACAGGCCCCGCGGCCAACACAGGCCCCGCGGCCGGCACAGGCCCCGCAGCCGGCACAGGCCCCGCAGCCGGCACAGGCCCCGCGGTCGGCACAGGCCCCGAGGTCGGCACAGGCCCCGCGGCCGGCACAGGCCCCGCGGCCGGCACAGGCCCCGCGGCCAACACAGGCCCCGCGGCCGGCACAGGCCCCGCAGCCGGCACAGGCCCCGCGGTCGGCACAGGCCCGCAGCCAACACAGGCCCCGAGGTCGGCACAGGCCCTGCGGCCGGCACTGACCCCGCGGCCGGCACAGACCCCGCAGGGTGAGGGCCTAGTCCCTCCACACTGCCCCCACCCCCTTCAGATGCCAACCCCAAGTCCCCAACCAGTGCTTCTGACTAACCAGCCACAACCGGGGCTTTCCTCTCCCTCCGGCTCAATAGTTTGCTGGAACAGCTCACAGAGGGCAGAGACGGCCTTACTTTCTCTTCCCAGTTGATTACAAAGGACACAGGCACAGCCAAAGGGAGGAGGGGCCAGGGCAGGGATGTGGGAGCCGGTGGCGGGGCCGGCCCTCTCTGGGCCTCCTCTGCCCGCACACACAGCAATGGGCACAACAATGGGCACAGCAATGGGCACAGCAATGCGCTCACCGAGCCCCACCGAGCGGCTGCCCACCTCCCAGCCCTGGCACAGGGCACAGGGCTTCCCGTGTCCGCACAGCTGCCCAGCACTTGCTTTGTTATTGTTTTCTTGGCTGTAGCCATGCCAGGGGGTCTGAGGGGCAGTCTCATGGTCTGGATTTGCATTTCCCTGGTGACTACTGATGTTGAGCACCATTTCAAGTCCTCACTGAGCATCCGCATGTCTTCTCCGGAGAAAGGTCTGCTCACCTCCCTCGCCCATGTTTGAATCGGGTTGTTTTTTGTTGTTGAGTTGTAGGAGTTCTTTATTGTTCCAGTTTTTTTTTTGTTTTTTCCTTTACTTTTAAAAGGCTGGTGGAGTGTGACCCTGAGCTCCCAGGCTGTGTAACCAGCCTCCATTTTTAGTGACAAGAAACACAAACAAGCTTTTGCTTTCCTCCAAAAATGTTTTCTAATTTTTATTTTTAGAATTCTTAAAGGGAACTGCTCTTGTGTTTTTCCAGTTTCAGTATGGCCCGCCTTTGTTTCATAGCTGGGCTGGTTGGGAAGGGGACTCTCCCTGGCTGTTTTCCTTTTGCAACCACCCGAACACCTCTCCTTGCCTTTTCTTCAACCCCCTTTCCTTTTCACCTGTGTGGGCAGACGCCTGCTTCCCTTGTGCCCAGCAGGGGACACCTAAGTGCAACCGGGCAGCCCTGGTACCTGGCCTGAAACGCCATTTCTGTACCCCTCTCCAGGTCCCGTTCCCGAGGTGGCAGCTCCAGTCTGGCTTCTATTATACATGAAGCGAGCTGAGGGTGCTGGACGTGGGGAGGCGGTTCTGAGGACCCATGAGCTCCAAGGAGCCTCAAGCAGAAAACAATCCTTTAGGCCCCCGTTGCCTCTTTGTCACTAAACATCCATAAAAACCACTCTGGGCCTGGGACACACAAAACGGCCCTCGTTATTTTGCTCACTTCGGCTAGTATCCTGCTCCTAACAGCAACTTATTGTTCACTTAGGCTTTTCTGTTGTTTTAATATTTTTCTGTATATTAAATATATCTCAAGTACAGGGCACTGGAGTTTTGCTTCGATAATAAAACCTAGGGTAGAAATGAAGTTTTTATAGATTATGTAGTTCATATATTACAGAGTACATACATGACCATGTATTATATATAACCATCCACATTACAGCTTTTTCTTAGATCTCCCTGTGTTTATTTTCTGTGCCCTGAGGAAAATGATGAAGAAGGTACATGTATGCCAATAATTTCAAAGTCTTTAGTTACTTTCTTCCTTTTGCACAATCACTTCAACTGCTCAGTCCTGGGGCGTGCTGTGTCCGCCTAGCGAGTCACCTCTGTGTTCTGCACGTGGAGACGTGTCCTTGTGCCGAGACTTGCCCAGGGTCAGCACCAGCTCGCCAGCCGTGGCTCCTCCCAGGAGTTTTCTGGAAACCAAGAGCGCCCAGCAGCTCCGAATCTCCACATTTCCGTCCTCAGATCCCGAAGCACCTGGAACAGACAACGAGGCCTTTTGGGATGTCCCCAAACTTGCAGGCCGGGAAGTGCCATTTGTGTGGTGCTAACTTCTATGCAGGGGGAAGGGAGAGGGATAGAGAGTTAGAAACATCGATGAGAGAGAAACATCCATCAGCTGCCACCTGCATACCCCCTGGGGATGTGCCCGCAACCAAGATACATGCCCCTGACTGGAATCCAACGTGGGACCCTTCAGTCCACAGGCTGATGCTCTATCCATTAATCCAAACCCGTTCAGGCTAGAATCTGCATTTTAACCCGGGATTTGAGAAGCGCTACTCTGGGCCCTTGGCCTAGACCCATGGTCGGCAAACTGCAGCTCGCGAGCCACATGAGACTCTTTGGCCCCTTGAGTGTGGCTCTTCCACAAAATACCATGGCCTGGGCGAGTCTATTTTGAAGAAATGGCATTAGAAGATGTTTAGGTTTAAAAAATTGGGCTCTCAAAAGAAATTTCAATCTTTGTACTGTTGATATTTGGTTCTGTTGACCAGCCACTTGCCTACACTCTAGACCATACTTTAGTACAGGGATTCTTAACCTGGGCAAGGGGGCTGGTGAACTTGCGTAGGAAAATGATATATCTTGATTCCTCAAAACAAAATTTTATTTGAATGTAGGCAAAAAACACA